TCAATAGCAAAACGAATAAGAAGAATCAAGTAGGCAGAAGATAAAAGTTTCTCCATTCTAAGAAGAAGGGAGAGTAGCTTTTATGCTTTATGATAGGTCTTAATGATTAAGAACCATATCTCAATTGATCCTCTAAGTGAGTCTTGGTACAATTGTATGTCCAAGAAGAGGAATCAAAGATTGAAGAAATGGTCAAATCAAGAAGTCAATCATACTTCGTTCCAAAACAAGTCTTAAAGTCAAGATTGTGACATTGAGTGAATAGTATAACATTCATCAATTGTGGAAAGTTGTGATGTCTTGGATAAGACAAGACCAACTAAGACCAATTTATGAAGTGTTTTGATAAAAGCTACACTAACTCTTGAATATTTGGTTGTCAACAAATGTTTATTGACAAGAGAATCTTATATGTCAAGGAGTCAGTGGGAGTCTTAATGGTCTTGAAAGGTTTCAAGAACAAATCAATAAACCTTATCGATCATCACTAGCACACGAGTTGAGGTTTACAACCTATCGTGAAGACATTATTTTGTTTCTGTGCCAATCCAATCAAGTTAATTATGCATGTGAGTCCTATGAGTTCTCATTTGAATGCATAAAAGGCAAGGACCTTGATCAATGGAAAGTACATTGATAGGAAAAGGTGAGCTGCTTAACTACTTGGAAGACGTGGTGGGCAGCTGTGCTACCATAAGGCAAGAAATCAAGATTAAGAAAGTTCGGTCCATATGAGTTTGAATTTGTTGTAAACTTTGTTTTAACAAATTCACATGGATAGGAACAAATACACCATTTAAATCTAAGTGTCATAAGATTTCCTCCTTCATGAAAATGATTGTGAGAAAATGCTTTCACTAAGAAAGATTTTAAAAGATAGTGATTGTAAAATTGCATTCTCGAATTCGATCATGGTTACGGCATCCCTTTCCATAATTTGAATTGTGAGGTTTGGCAATTAGTCTTAATTGTTAAGACACACATATGAACTATCTAAGGCAAAGGTGTATAAGTTCAAGAAGCCTTGATAAAAGATTATCAAAGCACTAAGTATTAGAAACATGGACTTAAGAAATTCAATAGTATTGTTTTTCTGAAAGTTAAGATGTTTATGAATACATGTCGAAGCTAGTGGGAGCATAAGTGTTATGTTTTATAATAATCATCATGATAGTGGGAGCATAAATGTTATGATTGTATGATTATTAAGGCACGTATTGCATAGTTGGCAATATTAATTATAGAAAACAAGAGTCATACTTTGCAAAGTTGTAAGAGTTAAAGTTGTTTTGCTATAATTAAGGGAGAGAATATTATGCTTCATTTCAAATCTAAAGGATTAGGTTGAGAAATGTTAATAAACTTAGTCAAGGGTACATAGTGTGTTCTTAAAGTTTCGATTATGATTACGGCATTCCTCTTCACAATTCGAATTTTGAGAACATAGCAAATAAAACATTGTGCGTCGTGTCCCATACGCTTCGGGTATAGGATCGATTGCAAATGCTTTAATGTTTGACCATTCTAAAATTTTCCAAATGTCTAGTGCATTTAGAGGGAAAAGGGACTAGAATTGGTTTTGACTAAAATAATTAAACAACTATCAAAGGACAATCCAAAGTTCGACGAGGATTGGTCGCTTGTGAGTAGTTGGAAGTATAGTATTGGAAATATGGAAATGTTTCCATATTGGATGGACAATATCGACATCATTACGAATAGAAAGATTCTATTAAGAATGAGTTGTCATATGGAAAATATGGAAGCGTGTCCATATTGGGAAGTAAATATTGAAAATCTATGTCTAGATTAGAAACTTTTATGCAAAAGGATGTTCAAAGGAATGTACTTTGAGAGAGAGACATCATATCTAAGGAATTGTCTTGTAACAATCTCCGATAGAGGACTTTGTAATATCATTGGCAATAGTCTTTGAGACTTTGGTGCAGTGACATTACAAAAGGATCGTTGCATAAAGTGTTAGAATCTAGTATATTCTATAAGTAACAAGAATTTGATATTCTTACACTTAAGAAAATGGATTTGGAGTTGTAAAATGAGAATGATTGGAAATGTGTTCAATTTGTCTATTTCACAAAAGTAAGAACCATAGGTAAACATTGTGTGCATGCTAGGAGCATGGGACAAGTGTAATAATTCAAGTAAAAGTTGATTACCCGAAACGACAAATAATGAGTAATCGATATGGTGATAAATAAAACGTGTTTTGTTTATACTCAAAGGTTTGAGGCCATATGGGATTAGTATTATTCTTGTGTTTCACCTTGCATGTTTTGACTTCCAGAATAATTGAGTTTATTAAGAATAATCGAATTATTCAAACGGGCCACAGTCGTTCATATGTTGGAAGTAGATATGAATGAAGACTGTCGTGAATTGGTGTGTGGATTGTCTAGAAGAGTATTAGACATAAGCAAATGTTTGCTGCAACGTTCATGAGTGCTTATGAATATGATTTGAGCATTGGATTAAACCCACGCTCACTTGGATCACTATCTCGAGTGATTAGTGAGACGATAACATCTTATATTCTTGAAACCGAGATGTGTGAGTTGTATCTTGCTAATCGGTTGCACATTGATAATATGTAAACGCACTAGTAACTTGGTGTTATAAAACATATTGTTGTGTGATTTGGTTAGTGAGTGCAAGCAAGCATTGTATCAAAGTTTATCCGTTCCTTTTATCCAAGGTAGGATAAAAGCGATATCTTTGGGCCCCTCGATGGTTTAGTGATGACATACGTAAATGCTCGGCCGGGCTAGGGCTAATTTGATTTGTTCAATTAGTCTGTCGTCATAAATCGGAAATCGAGATATAGTACAAAGAGAATGATTAGAAATCATATCTCATACGATATCTAGAATGGAGGAATATATGATCCCTTATCTAAGGACACGCGTATCTGATATGATCAGAGTTGACAGCGGCTTTGGAAAGCTACGATTGCAGATCAGGATCTGAAGTCATACGCAGAATAGTTGTTAGACTTATCCAAGTGGGAGACTGTTGGATTAGTGTCTAAGTCCATAACTATTTTGGTATGTACTTGACCCGATGGTGCATGGTCCTTTTGGGTTGCCTTCACCAAAGCAACTTGATTGGAGAAATGAATAAAGAGAGAGAGGATAATATGATTTATTAATATGTTATAAGAATAATATATTAAAGGAGAAATCATATTTGTTTAATTAATATTGGTCAATAATTAATTAAGAATTAGTTTTGTGATCAAATGTAATTAATTAAACTAGAGGGGCTGATTTGTAATTATGTGATAGTTACAAAATAAGGTAAGGATTATCTTATTTATATGGTGGACGAATTTAAGGTTGGAAAGCCTTAGAATTCGAGTATGATAAGGATTCAAGGATTATCTTATTGGTTGCTTAATGGATAATCAACTAGATAAGGATAATGACTGAAACCCTATCTCTACACCTATATAAACACCCCTAGGGTCATGAATTCGTGTATCCCTTCCCAAGAGGTCCTAGATACGAATTCTAACCTCTCACCTCTCTCTTTATACCTTCTCCATTTGCTTATGGTGTTTGTAAACCATTAGAGGAGTGACACTTGTGACTCTAAGCCTTCCAAAGTCATTACAAGGAGATTTGGGATTGTTATTGCTACATAACAATCAAGGTATGATCTTAAACCTAATTACATATTAATATGATTACTTGAATGCTAGAATTAGGGTTTATAGTCTTGGATTCAAAGCATGTACAATAGAGAAACCTAGATCCAAGCATTAGGGTTTGTATGAGCACATAGGATGTCTTATGACCAAAACCCATCAGATATCACCATGGATTTTATTACAAAGCTTCCCAGAACCGCGCGTGGAGTGGATTTGATTTGGGTCATCGTAGACCGACTGACCAAGAGTGCTCACTTTATTCCGATTCAGGAGAGCATATCGGCCGAGAAGTTGGCCGATATCTATATCAGGGAAATCGTGGCGCGGCACGGGGTGCCGGTATTGGTGATCTCGGATAGGGATGTACGTTTCACTTCCAAATTTTGGAAGAAGTTTCATAACGAGTTGGGCACTCGATTGCATTTTAGCACCGCCTTTCACCCGCAGACAGATGGTCAGAGTGAGCGGACCATCCAGACTTTGGAGGACATGTTGCGGGCGTGTGTGTTGGATTTCGGTGGTAGCTGGGATACCTATCTTCCCTTGGCTGAGTTCTCCTACAACAACAGCTATCACGCGAGTATTGACCGACCACCGTTCGAGATGTTGTACGGGCGGAGGTGCAGAACACCGATATGTTGGGGTGAAGTTGGCCAGAGAGTCATGGGAAGCACCGAGGTGGTGCTAGAGACGACCGAGAGGATCCAGCAGGTTCGGAGCAGACTTCAGACTGCTCAGAGTCGGCAGAAAAGTTACGCCGATAAGCGTCGATCCGACTTGGAGTTCCAAGTCGGGGATATGGTTCTCCTGAAAGTATCACCTTGGAAAGGCGTCATTCGATTCAGGAAGCGGAGCAAGTTGGGCCCAAGATTCATCGGGCCATTCAGGGTTGTAGCCCGGGTGCGCAAGGTGGCGTATAGGCTGGATCTGCCAGCCGAGCTCAGTCAGATCCACAGCACTTTCCATGTTTCGCAGCTGCGGAAGTGCCTAGTGGACAATTCAGCGGTAGTACCATTGGAGGATATTCAGGTTGATGACAGCTTGAATTACATTGAGCGCCCAGTTGCAATTCTCGACAGGAAGTCAAAGGCTTTGAGGAACAAGAGGGTAGAACTAGTGAATTACATTGAGCGCCCAGTCGCAATTTTGGGGTGCCGTCCTACCCCAGAATGGCCGTATGGTGTGCCGTCCTACCCATACGGATCGGTTGTTAGGACCGATGGGTAGTCAGCACCCCAGAATGGCTTGACATGGGTAGTCAGCACCCCAGAATGGCTTGACACGGGTAGAACGGCACCCCAGAATGGCCGTATGGGTAGGTCGGCACCCCAGAATGGCCATACCGGGTAGTCAGGCACCCCGGAATAGCCTGACAGTACGTATGTTATGTGTTTGTATGGTATGTGGTACGTTGGGGGAACTCACTAAGCTTTGTGCTTACGTTTACAATTTTGTTTTCAGGTACCTCTTCACCGAAGGGGAAGGAGCCGGCGCGGTAGTGGCACATCATGCACACACTCTGGTTTCCGCATTTACGAGATTCACTGGGATTGTACTCTGATATTTTGATGGGATGTATGGTTTGACTTTTTAAAACATGGTTTGCGATGTGTTATGGTGTGATCAAACAATGTTTTTATGTATTAATGTTTTCTAAAGTAATATTTTAAAATGAAATTTTCGGACATGAAAATTGGGTCGTTACAGTATGCAGTTATTATATATTATATATTATATTATATGTATCTGAAAAGAAGGTGTGAATGTCTTGATGGATTAATTTAGGAGGACATCAAAGAGTACTTAACATTAAAGGGAGTTGAATGGGAAGAAAGTGCTGATTTGAAGGAAGTGGCATCGAAATGTGATGTGGTGTATCAGACTCGCATCCAGAAGGAACATTTTGGAGAGAGAAACGATCTTTATGAGGAAGCTCGTGGGAAATACATTATTAGTAGAGATGTATTAGGTGTCATGCAGAAACATGCCATTGTCATGCATCCTCTCCCTAGGCTTGATGAGGTACAAATTCTTGTCTTGTTTTTGTTTTTAGTTTTATATATAATATAATATAATTAAGTAGAGTTTTGTTTGTGAATTGTAGATAACAGTGGATGTAGATGGGGACCCAAGGGCTGCTTATTTTAGACAAGCTAAAAATGGACTCTACATTAGAATGGCTTTGCTCAAGCTCTTACTTGTCGGTTGGTGAATGCTGATTAATTGATATGCAATGGTCAATGGTCAATGGTCTTGGTTTGAAAGGGAGAGTCCTTTTGCTGAATAACTACACTTTCTGTCTGGTATCGTCAAAACTGCAACAAATTCCATTTCCATGTGTTAGATTAGATATATCACCTAAATTCTAAAGATTGCAACTTATTAGATAATAATTTATACTTATGGATTTTTTGGAATTTTTCTTGCTCTCCTGTTTAATGGTGATTTATTGTGGACATTGTTTAATGGACATTGATATTAAAGCAGACTTATTTTCATTTTTCAGTTAAATATTGGGTTCTTGAGCACCTATGCTTCTTTGAGCACAAATCTAAGGGTATTTTTTGTTATGTTAAACTTAAACCCTTTTATCAAAGTACTGTTTGGATGTAAATTGTAGTTTGGGTTGTTTGATGAGACTTGAGTGTTTGTTGACTGCAGATTCTGATTCTAGCAGTGCTTCTGAAAAGGAGGTAAAAGATGTTAAAGCTTCTACTTAGTTTACTAGGGCAAAGGTATATCTAAAGTTATCCTTTGTAGTATATTATATGAATTATCTGGAAATTGCAAGATATGTTTTTTTTTTGTCTTGGGTGGAATCTTTATGGCTGGTTTTATATATATATATATATATATATATATATATATATATATATATATATATATATATATATATATATATATAATCTTAGAAAAAGAGACCTGGAGAAGCCAAGGCAGTTGAAGATGCTCGGAGGCGAGTGGAGGCGGAAGTTGCTGCAGAAGCAAAACGGAAAAGAGACCTGGAAAGGTTAGCAGCCAGACAAGCATTATTGAAGGTATTCTGTATTTCTATTTTGCAACATATATTTTATTATAATATATATATATATATATATATATTATTTTAACTTAAATCTTAAATCTTATTTTTATCAATAGTTTGAAGTTGAACTTTGTGATAACTGTGTAGTGAGTGTTAATGTGTTATCTGGTTATTGCTATTACCGATTCAATCAGCTCCCGTAATCTGTTATGTGATTGTATCACTGTTAAAGAAGCTAAATAAGAACTACATTGAAGCCTCTTTGCTAGTTATATGCTTTTCCATTAGCTATCTCTATTGTTCAAATAGCTTTTAAAGAGATCCCTCAACTCTGTTTTATAATTGCAACTGGGAGTGTTTCTTGTGGGACCTTTTGATTTATCCAAGGACAACATAAAGAATAAGGAGCATAAATCACATGGGATATTGTTATCTGGAGTAACAGAAGTAAGTTTCAATATCTTTCATATGGAATCTTCTAATTTGTTTCATTTCCCTATCAGCTTGAAAGATAATTAAGCTTGTACAGATCCCAATACTAGATGGTGAAGAAGCATTAAAAGTCCTATGTGTAAGATCAGAATTTTACCTTAAGTTTTCCTAATTCAAAAATTCTATTTAAGAAAACTAAATATTCAATTATCTTTTACTTCTTAACCTTGGTAATGCAGAGTGGGATAGCTAACAGAGCTGTTGGAGAGACTCGTATTCTCTCTCTCTCTCTCTCTCTCTCTCTCTCTGTCTCTCTCTCTCTCTCTCTCTCTCTATCTCTCTCTCTCTCTCTCTGTCCAATTTTTTTTTCTAACAGCTATATCCAGGGACCAAAAAATATTCATTTTATTTGGAACACGGGACCAAAAATGTTATAAGATTTTGAAATAAGGACCAAAGTTGTTAGAAAAAACTTTTTGGGACCAAAAGTTGTATAAAACCAGCCATCCACAAATAGTAGAAAGAAAAACAAAACAAAAATGTAGAGGTGAAGAAAGAAGAATAAATACCATATGTAGCAGGTAATCAGTAACATCCATTCGAATTTCTCAATCATCCGTCTCCTGTTGTATATTTTCATCTTCCTCCATTCTCCAAATATTAGACATTAAAGGACTTCCTTCGTCTTCAATCAGATGTTGAACAAAGGATAATTACCTAAGCTATCATGCATTCTCTTATATTCATCAGTCATCATGTTTTCTTGAAAAGGCATAGATAGAAGAAAGCTATCACAATCCCAGAAAAAAAAATAGATAGAGGAAGATGTAGGAACTGAACTCATATTCATCAGTCATCATGTTTTCTCTCATATTCATTAATATATAATCTGTAGGAGTTCAACTAATATAATCTGATCACAATATATTCTAAAAAAGTTCTCTTTTTTTCATTTTTCTGTAGGTGTTCAACTAATAGTTCAAGTTCGGCTGAAAAAACCCTAGTTATGGACTCATTACCAGATTCTATATTAAATGACTTGAGAAAAGTTGAGGAGATATTAAGAAAAATAGATGAGAATCAAACTCAAAGTGGTTACAGTTTAGAACATGTTTTAAACAGCTCTGATAACATAAACATGAGAAGTGAAATGATGAAATTTGTTAGAAATATTAGTTTACAATGTTTAAATGTATTTCCACATGACCATATTTTAAAAGAGGCTACACTTGTTGATGAAGAGATTTCAAACACAAAAATGAACTCCTCTAGTGTTGCTATTACTCCATGTAGGACATTGGCAAAAAGCCTCTTGAAAAGCAATCATCAGGTATGTTTATTTTGTTTATATTTAATTATTTATTCGATATAAAAATATGTTTTATATAACTGAATAGTAAATAACTAAATACATACAGGATGTACATTTATGTGGTGTTTATGCAAGAAGAGAAGTTGCATTTAGGAATATAGAATATGCAAGAAAAGTATTTGACATGGCATTATTATCCATTGAAGGGCTTCCATGGGTAAGAAATAAAAATCAAGATTATCTTTACTTTACAAATTACAAAAACTTGATATATATATATATATATATATATATATATATATATTATCATTTAATTTTATTTTATACGACTCATAGGATCCCAAATCAAACGCCTCACTTTTATTCTTTTGGTATGCTGAACTTGAACTTGAACTTTCAAACAACAATTCTTCTAGAAGCTCAGAATCATCATTATCACGAACATTACACATTGTTGCTTGGGATGTCGGGTAAAATTTAGTCAATTCAAAAGTCAACCATCAAGTTTACAACTGTTAAGGGCACGTCAGGGATTTAAAGAACAAATAAGGGTAATTCAGGAAACATGGATACATGGGAGTATTAATGAAAATTCTGTTGCTTCTATTTGTTGTGCTTCATTATTTGAAGAGTTAACTTCTGGATTGGAATCTGGAATAGAAATTTTAAATCAATCTCTTTCCATGGTGCTTCCAGGTGATTTCATGATCATTTTAAACCAGTCATTTTTTATCATATTTAATTTTGTTAGATTGTAGAATATGTTTAGTTATTATGGATAACATAATCTTTATAAATACAGAAAGGAGAAGACAAATCCATCAACTTGAATTACTATTCAACTATTATATACAAATGCTATGGAAGCATCATTCAGAAATAGAGCTTGCAAATATTTGGAAAATTTTGGTGCAAGAATTACAGATATACCCCTTCAGTCCCAAACTCTATAATACAATTATTCAAATTGGACATCTTCATACTTCCCCTAGTAAGCTTCGATGGATCATTGATGATTACTTACACAAGTAAGATCAAAATTTTAATCTGTCCTCATAGGGGTGATTGTGTCATTAGTATGAATCTTTGAAACTGAATCATGTTGTGGTGTTTACAGGAAACAATCAGTGAGTGTTTGTCTATTTGCAATATCATATGAGATTAGAAAAGGAAGCTCTCATCATAGAGTACATAGAATATTTGAAAGGGAATCGGGTGACAACATGTTGAAAAGCTGTGTACTTTTATGGCGATTATATTTGTTGTATGAAATCCATGTCACACATGACATGTCAGCAGCTAGAAGAATTTACTTTCATGCCATTCACTCATGTTCATGGTAATATAACATCTTCATCTTTTACAATTTCAAATTTCAAAATTCAAAATTCAAAATATTTGGTTATCGGATTTGTTGGAAGTTATGCGTGAGAAAGAGATGAATGTGAGGACTGATGTATATGAAATCCTTTTGCAAGATGAGATGGATGTGTCCAAATAACTTTAGGCAAAAAAGGGATTGTATTGTATACTACAGAATAATCATCAAACTTTGCATGGATTTGACTTTTGTTGATGTAGGAACTGAACTCGGAGTTGGTTATACCTGGAGGTTTCCTCGAATGGAAAGAGACCATGGATTCTTGTGGTTCCAAAATGATATCTGCTATAGAGGTGAAGTGATTTTGCATCATAATTTCTAATATTACAGGATATAATTCAAAATTCAATTTCCTCAAGCTGTTGCTGAAATGGCAGCAATTGGTTCCACTGAGGTCACTTTTTATCTTGGACATGTGACACATAAGTAAATGGTTAAGGTCATAGAAAAGTAATATTCGTTAATTTTCACTTATCCTTACCAAACTTTGTTTCGTACTTATCATACTCTAGTTTGATTTTACGGGGCATGTTATCTAACAATCCAAGAGCTACCCCAATTTGTTGATGTTTGAATTATATTTTTCTAGATTGCAGGGTCCACATCTTGTTGCTCCAACAGGGAGTGACCTTGAATGCCATGGGAAAGAGGGTACTGTGTTTGTAGGATAAAATTATAACCATTCATGAAAGAAGTAGATTCCCTGAAGAGGACCCGAAGCCTTTCATTCCATGACAAGTACAAACAGGGCCCTGTTATCGGTTGTAAGTATTGTATTTCTAGCACCCATTTTATGAATTTAGCCACTCAAACTCAACCTGCTATTAAAATAAATCATAAATAATTAATTCATAATGTTTGTAATTATGTAATGCAATGCAGATATGGAGCACTGGAAGTTGTGTCACCTATCCCCTCCTAATTCGTTCCCATCTCCTTGCTTAGCCTAAGCCCAGCCCACCTACTTGCAGGTTGATCTTGAATAAGCAAAGGGGCAATGGATTGTATTTTTTGTATCTAATTCGTTTGTAAATTTTTGTTACAATTTCTATTGATTTGTTTTATCTTTCCATAGAACGATTATTTGTATGATATTAAATTTATGCAATGGATTCTATTTTTTGTATATGATATTTATTTTCTATTATGAAACATTAAATACAAATTTAATTTGAAAATAAGTAAATCTATAAATAATATTTTTGTTAAACATATCAAATTATGATACGCAAAAATGTGTCATCTTCATTTATGATATGGCCTTTCTTGATAGGGGCTTTTTTGATACGCACTACGCGTCATTGACACGCGCGTCGTAAGGTTACGACGCACGAATGCGTGTCGTCTTCCTTTATGATAGGACCTTCCTTGATACGCATTGGGTGTCGTAAACACACGTCGTAAATGCGCGTCGTCTATAGACGATGCGCAAAAACGTGTCGTCTCTCTTTATGACAAGTCCTTCCTTGACGCGCATTTGCGCGTCGTCTGAGCCTTTTACGACGCGCAATGAGCGTCGTAAAAGGCTATTTTTTTAGTAGTGAATTCTTGACAATGGAGGCTACAATTCGTTTTAGGGTTTTGATAACAATGGAGGCTGATAAGGAGGCCAACCAAAGGAACTTAAGGCCTTTAAATAGGGTGCAACACCCTACAAATTAGGGTTTCCTTCCCAGCTACCAACTCACCGAGTTGAAAAACCATTAAAATCTAACAAAAAACACTAATCTATTCTAAAATAATATTATTGATAAGATTTGATTTATAAATTTTGGCATAATACATAAACCACATTCTGCTAGAATACAAACATTATAAAAGAATGGATTTGTATAAATAAATTCTGACAGAATACACACAATTCCATTCACACATCATACTCAACTTTCACATCATAACAAACTATTTTTCTTCTAAATTCTGACAGAATACACACAATTTCATTCACACCTCAAGAAGGATTTGTAGAGTGAAACAGAAAAATTATCCACATGTATTCACAAGAAAATCCATGAATGAGTAAATGTAGACATATACTTCTGTTTCACCTTATTAGACACCCATATGAATGCAAAAATACAATCTACTAATAAAAGTTTACCTAGAAGTGTGAAGTTTAACAACAAAAATTGCACCAATCTAGAGTAAATTTAACTTATCGGTTACAAAGAATAACCAGAAGTGTTAAATTGTATGTTTAAGAATAATATACATGAAAGAAGGAAAACTTACTCAGGTAAAGAGAAGATGTTCTTCAAATATTACAGTTCCAATGAGTAATTGTTGCGGACAATTGACAAACAACGATTGTTTTTCCCAAATCGAATTACATATCAATCTTGATTTGGTCAAATACAGCATACAATTTCATCAATTTATCAGAGAACAATCATTGATTTAAGTTCAACAACATAACTCACTTTCAAATAGAAAATCGATAAATATCAATTTCTCATATCAATGATTTATGATGAAATCAACAATCTCATTGAACGACAAGCCTGAACAGATCCACAAATCACAAAATAATTTTGAAGAAACGAGATTCGATTGAAGAACATAAAGTCAATTGAATAAAGAATAAATCTAGTCAACAGTCGACAACATAAGAATCGCGACTCATAAGAGGCTTGAATCAATTACCCAAATAGCGATTTTGGCTTCAAAAATCGATTATCAGTGAATCTATGAAGAACGCCACAAGTGATGAATTAAGATCAGACGAGCAATGATAAACTGAACTTGGTGATGGTGTTGATGCCGATGATGAACGTGTTCGACCACACACATGACTAGGTCAAATATATATATATATATATATATATATATATATATATATATATATATATTATATATATATATATATATATATATATATATATATATATATAGAGGATATAGATCCGGTAAGAAATATTTTTGTTAGGAAGGTAAAAAGTTTTTTTTTCTACATACTTTTCTGACGAACAAAAGAAATGAATCACTAAATGAATAAAAAATAATATGATTCACCAAAAAAATCTCAAAAAAACACACTGATGATTCATTTATACAATGATTTCGTTGTTATTCACTAAAATTATCATAAAAATAAATTTTTTCTTAATTTACTTAAAAATGAATCATGAAGATGTTTTTTTGGGATTTTTTTTTTGTGAATCATCTTACCTTTGAATCATCTAATAATTCATTTTGTATGTTCGCTAAAACAATATGTAGAAAAAAACTTCTTACATTCCTACAAAAAAATTTCTTTTTATTTGATCTTGACTCTCTCTCTCTTTATATATATATATATATATATATATATATATATATATATATATATATATATATATATATATATATATATATATATATATATATATATATATATATATATATATCCTTAATTGCATGATTTGAATTAAATGATTTCCTTAATTAAAAATCTAAAAGATCCAAAATACCCTTAAATGATTAATTTAATTATTTATTGTTTTTTGAATTTTTATTAGTGCATTTAGGTACACAATAGTAGCTAGAAACATTTGAAGATATATATATATATATTACGAAAATAAACCTATAAATAATTAGCAAGGCGTATTACGCATTTCATATTCCAATTGTTACAGTTATATAATGCATAAACAATTATATATTACTTTTTGTAGATGTAGATAATGCATAAACGATTATTCGATAATTTTAGGATATAATCGTTTTCTTGCTATTATATAACTATTGTAAACCGCTCTGATCTTATTGGTTTGTTTTCATTTGATTTTATCACTTATCATTATAAGATGTTAACGATATTTTAACCAGACAATAGTAAATTATATTCTTTATTTTCAATGCATAACTAGTTTCACGAAAAGAAGACATTAATAATCTTTGTTTAATAATAGAAATTGAAAAGAAAACATCACGTTGCATCACGTAGTGGGGTACAAGAAAAGTAGGCACTGGTTCAAAATAAAAGGAGGTGGGCCGCTAGATGGGCTTTTGTGGGATTAGTGGGTCCCACGTGACAATTCCAATGGGTTTGTGCCTTTGTGGTGCTATGAGGACAACATTATACACATATAAAGTTTTTTTTTTTTAATCTATTTATTTGATATTTTGAATATGATTCGGGGATTTTGATATGCCATTCAACCGTATCAAATGTTAAAATGTATATATTTATTCAAACCCCTCAATTTTTCTAATAAGAAGTTGTTGATTGAAAAATCTAATTGAATTATGATATTTTTTCAGATCCAGTAGAAACATATCAAAGATTATAAGACGAATTAGAAATTTTTAATTATAATATAAAATAGTCTGAATCGAATCAGACTCAACATATTATCAGACTTAGTAAAAAACGTATCAAACAGACCTAAGATATATAATCTTTTCGTTTTTGATGGATTTGAAATTAAAATTCTATATAAACCTTTTTTTAGTACAAAAGGAATTCAATTCAATGAGTTTTTCCAAATACGTTATTCAAATGATTGTAGAAATCTTCCTTATACCCAAGATTTTAAAAATCCTATCAGTTCCAAATTTATATTTTTCAAAATATAGAATTATAATTTATATTTGCTGTTTTTCATAGTTCAACATTGCTTATTTTCTTCGTTTCTTTGGCCACTTTTGTCCAACACATTCTCTAAAAAAATCCTATTTTTATCCACACATTCTATTAATTACTATATTTCTTTTGATTTAATGATATATATTGTCCAACTACTTTACAATGAGATATTACCTAAAAGAATGGTCACAAAACAAGTTAGGTTTGATGGCGATCCTAAATTTCCAAGTCTGACTTTTAAAAACATTAAATGATTTTATCACCAATTAATCATTATATTTATGGGCTTCTTGTAAATCAATTATTATAATTATTTAAATATAGAATTAATATAAACACCGATAAATTGTTAAATTAGTGTTCATTGTACTTATATTTTTATGACAAAATGATTTAAACATTTGACTACAACCTAAAGTGACAAATTGAAAGAGAAATGATTCAAAACAAATTTATAAAATGAACTATGAATCATGAATAGTCTTTTTAGAATGGGCGACCTAACGGATCAGATTGGCCCATTGACACTTTTATTGTATAAAAATATAAGAGTTTGTAAAACGTTGAAAATAAGCCACTAACTAAAAAAATATAACTTTTAATTTGTTTTAAAATTTTTAACAATATCCCTGAACTTTAGTTTACTTTTGATAAAAAAAAATAATTTGAACCTAATCAAAGCGTTTAACAAACTTTTTTTTTTTTTTTTTTTAATTTGTAGTGTCATTTGATTTATATATTTTCTCATCTCTTGAAACATATTTACATCGTTCCTTCTGACCTCTAATTTATTTAAGATACGAATTTAAAGAAACGTCTGGTTTACAATGAATTAAACCGTAAAATGATAGATAAAAAAGATCTCGTTATTTAAATAAATTTAGTCTATAGTTTTTATTTATTTTTTTCTAAAAAAATCTTGTCGTAATATACTTTTTATTTAAAATAATCTCGTTTATACATTTTTATAAAAACATTTGAATGATAAGTTTTGTAAAAGAAATGAATATATAGGTTTTACTCTTATTTGTTTTTAATTATTATTATTATTATTTTTTATTTATATAATTTTGTGATTGTTTCAAAATATGTGTTAAATAAATGAGTAGATGGATCGGCGTCTCCTCTTTTGTTAATAGAAATGGTAAAAGATTACGGCCTACTACTTTCAGTTTTTGAAAATTTTGAAAGATGTAGGATTTGGTGAAGAATGCAAGAACAAAATCCTTAAAACAAACAGGTTGAATAAAGCTTCAAATTAGAGAGTTGATTACCTTGCAAAACACATTTAGGTTGAAGAAGATTTTGATCTATTAATTTTCATTTTGGATGTGCCTTTTTTGATGGAGGGGATTAGACAAGCTATTTGAGATTGTGATG